GGACAAAATCAAATGATCTTGATAATGTGCGCAAATACCTGTTAGATACACTGTGCCATGCTATAGAAAAGACTGAGTTGTGGCGGATGGCTAACCGTAGAGTGGAAGTTTGAGAGGGTGGTGCCATGCCCGAATTAGTGAATATCAAATACACAAGACATAATCCTTCTTGGGTGCCAAATTGATGGTATTGGCATGATTGTGATCTTATAAATGTTCATTGTTGGATAGTCCCTTCAGAGCATATGATCTTCCATTTGAGATGCAAAATATTCTCAATGTATCACTTACCTCTCCATGAAAAAATAAAATTAGTTCATATGGGCAATGAAGTGTGTGATTTTGGTCTTTTTGACTCAAGTTCATTTTGATACTGATTGCATTGATTTAATCTCCATGGTAATAGCCTGGTGGAGTCGTCTAATTTTGCTTTGAAACTTTATAATTCTTGGATTCTCTAATCATTTCTCTCGTTTTTATTCATTATAATTCTCATTCAAACAAAAAGCAAGAACGTAATGTATTTTTACTTTGATTTTATCAAACACGGTTACAGATTGACTTTTTTAAAAATTGGTCTCTCTCTAAATTTTTTTCTTGATTATGTAATATTTGGATTTTTAATCAGTAAGCCTGAATCTAATTGACATGACCCAAATCTCATGTCTTCTTGGTACTTATAGTGGTTAGGTAATTTGTTTTTTTATGCATATATAAAAATCTGTCTTCTCTTTTATATTAGAGTTCAAAGAATTAATTTCACAAGGATATATCTCTTACCGTTGTATCCCGACTCATTTTACACAAATAGACTGGCATTAGTGGATTGTTTGAGTCTAGATGGATGTTTGACTTCAGATTTTGTTATCTCGTATCTTACTCTTCTTTCGGAATGTTGTTTACCTATGTTTAGAGTTGTAAGGGACCGCAAGCCCAAAAAGAAAATGGGCCGATTTTGATATTAAATCTTTTTTTTTTGAAAAGCTCTCCCCCTAAGTTTCGAACCCATGTCCTCTTGCGAGGTCAGATTACACTTTATGGATTAACTCTCAAGTCTGGTTCAATGAGAACTACAACAAAAAAAAAAAAAACTCAAACTTCCATATAAGAAACTATACGGTCTATTCTCATTACTAACTATACATTCTTCTTCCCATTGTAGCAGAAATATCGTCGTTATATGATCACGGAAAGGCCTAAATCAAATCTTCATGATGAGAAGACGAACCTATACCAAATCAAACAAAGGAAAAGAAAAAAAAACAGAACACAAATATAATCCATCAAGAATAAACCGACCTCTTCATGCACCACCTTCTTTACTGACTTCTTTCTATTTAGATGCCAAATTGATGGATTCTTGCATGAGTCTAATCCTACAAGTGGCGATAGTTAGATAGTCCGTTTGGAGACTATACAGTATCGTCCATATCTGATAAAAAGGATTTCCAAGGTATCTCTCACGGTCTTACCTTTCCATGCAGAACAAATCTACCTCCCCATGCAACCTTCTCAACCGACTTTTTTTCCTTCGTAGAAGTCAGATTGATGGATAGTTTGTTCGGAGCATAGGATCTTGCATCTCGGATACAATAGATTCTCAAGGTATCTTTCATCTTTCCATGCAGAATTAGAATCACTCCTATGAGTAATGGGGTGTGTGATTGATTTTTATTTTTATGACTAGGTTTCGGTTTGATACTGATTACATTGATTCAATCTGATTAGTTAATAATCTAATGGAATGGTCTACTTTCGCTTCAAAGTTTGATAGCTTTAGGATTCTCAATGCTTTCTTTTCCCCTTTCGTTAGTCCCGGATTGACTTCTTTTTGAGAATAGTCTCTTTTGAATGTTTTGTTGAAAAGAGGAGGAAAAATAGCTTTTCTCGTTTCTGTATTTCTTCGATTTTTAAACACCTAAACTGACTCTAATTGACACGACCCAAATCTCATGTCTTCTTGGTAAAAGGGAAAATAATTAGTAAAAGACAAATGTGTATATCAAAATCCAAATGAATCAGACTGAACTCAAACCTCTATAAAAGAAACTATACAGTCTATTCTCGTTGGTAAACTGTACATTCTCTTCTAGTATCAATAGAGATGTTGTTGCTATATGATCATTCTTTAGGTAAAAATCTGGAAAAGTCTTCGATCAAATCTTCATGATAATAGAGAAGATCAACGACCTATACAAGATATATAACAAATAAATCAAACCAAGCCAAAAAAAAAAAAAAACACAAGTGTAAGTGCAACACCAAGAACCTTACCTCCTCATGCACCTTCTTTAGCGGCTTCTTTCCATCTTTATACATTTGCATTATCTCTTGAAATGACCCAACAACATGAGTGTCAATGCTCAGGAACCTTGTCTGCAGATCAATGAATTTGTAATTCAAATCACAAGCTCACAAATATCAAAATGGTGATATATATTTCCAAGGATTATTATCTGTCTGTCATTTTAGCATTTCTATACCTTAAGCTTTTTCATAAACTCCTCTCCATCAGCCTCGGCACGTTTTCTTTTGGTAGAACTAGACTCAGCATGTTGCTCAGCCTTGGTAAACATGGTTCTCTTAGCCTCGGGAGGGATGGTTCTCTTAGCCTTGGGAACGATGAATCCCTCGAGAAGGAAGGTTGTTTTCGCCTCGGGAACAATGGTTCTCTTACCCTCAGCTGGAAGGAAGGCATTGAAACCAAGAAGCAGATTATGGTGATCTTTCATGAGTTCTTCCAACCTTGCAATAGTACTAGCGACATCGACTCTAACAAAGATACAAATAAAC